ATCTCAGAATTCCAACTTTAATCTCAGAATTCTAACTTTAATCTCAGAATTCTGACTTTTGTCTCAGAATTTTGACCTTTTTCCCAGAATTTCAAGTTTAATCTCAGAATTCTGATTGAATTCTTACAGCTAACAAACATGTTAGCATTAAGCTGTAGCCATGTCTGTTTTAGAGAATAAACTAGCTCTCTTGTTATAATCTCCGTCTGCCCTTCCATTAATTAAATAGCATATTTGTGTTAAATAGCATCACGTAAAAAGTCACCTAATTCCGTAATTTTCCACCAGTGTGTTCCTGTTCCTCCCAAATACTCACATCTTTGTCAGTGAAGCTGAGTGCTCCCACATCTCTTCCTTCATGGGGCCCATCTACATTAAAATCCAAAATTCTGAGATTAAAGTCAGAATTCTGAGAAAAAAGTCAGAATTCTGACTTTTTTTTATCATATTATACTGAAATAAAATTAAAAATTCAGTTAACTTTAAAAAAAAAAAAAATTAGGTAGCCCTAATCAGCACAAACGGATCAGGAGAAGTTATTTGTAGAATTTTAAGTTGAAAAACATTTGAACATCTACATATCTAATAACAACAATCAATGTCTACTGTTATTATTATTATTGTATTAGAGAACCCAAGTTGATTGTGAAAGAAAGAAAACAATACAAAAAAAAACAACAAAAACAAATCTAAACAGTGTGTTATTTATTTATATAAATCTCCAAAATGATCCCAACATAAGTTTCAGCATTAGCAACTACATTCATCTCCCTCTGATTTCAATAGTAGTCCATTGTTCGTAAAAGGCCAGGGGGTTTGTCGAAAAAAAAATTGTATTATAAAGACCATATTTAAAGGAATGATTTATTGGAGAAGTTTAAAGAAGGGTTTGGAGGCCTCATTGATAAACTATTCAATCTGTTATCTCAAAACTGAAATAATTTTGCACATTGGCAAACAAAAGGCGCATGGTTACACTGGAGGAGCTGCAAATATCCACAACTCCTGCTGATTAGACAACTTTTTGTCATGGGTTCTGTAAATCTTCTCTTTATGCATGGAGTGCAAAGCCATCCTGAATGTGAAAGAAAAAGTAGAAGAAAATAAACCCCACAGAGCCCCGTGAACACAGCGTCCCTGTGGTAAAGCATGGCAGTGACAACATCATACTGTGGGGAAGGTTATCTTCAGTAGGCTAAGTGCAGCTGGTCAGAGTTTAGAAGATGAGTGGAAATAAATAAAGGGCATCACTACAGAGAACATGTTAGATGATGTAGCATAAGATAAATGTTTTCTGCTTTTCCAGAGAGCCTTGCAACAGAGAAACAACCCTAAACCATTCATCGGGTTTTATTTTTACACAATAATGAATTTGGCTTCAGGTTGGCTCTACTTTATTTAATCTTTATTGTGGCTGAATGGCCCAGTCAAAGTCCAATCAATACCGGTGGTACCCCGAAAAAGTTACTGCTGTAATTAAGAATAAATATAGTTTTACCAGAAACCACTTAGTGAATTTAAAGGAATTCAGTCAAATAATGTTCTATGGCTGCAGCTATTTAGATTTATCTAGCAGTAAATTATTTTAATCTCACCTGCAAAATGTATGTATCTTTTTCTACAATTAGTTTTGGATTACTAACTGCTCTGAAGGTTTATTCTTTAAGCTGATGTAATTTTCTAGCATCTACATATTTCAGGTTACCATTCTAAGATTATTAAAAGAGTTGAAAAAAGATCAATAATTGATTAATCTGAAATAATCCAATAGATTATTTCAGTCTTGGTACCATAAATTGATTTTTTTTGCTTGCAATTTAATAAAATATGTAAAAAAAAAAAAAAAAAAAGATACTTTTTCAGGGCATCTTAAAATAAATAAAAAATACCATGATAATTTGCAAACACAGAGACAAAAAGATGCAGCAGAAAATGTTGGTGTTTAAACAAACATGGACGCTTTGTACCTGAATGGGTAAAGCTGTATTTTAAATTATGATCTTATCAGAATATTATCTAATTTGTGTGTTAGAGTAAACTAATAGGCACTAAATAAAATGTCCCCTAAAAAAGAAAGCAAAACATGTAGAGATGTCTGTGACTGGGTATTTTAACTTTTAGTATCAGTTGCTTTTTAATTGTTTTTTCTGTTTTTACATCATATCAGGTTTTCCTGTTAGTCATCCACAGTTTCCAGCTTGTTCTACAGTTTCGATTGCAGAAACACCAATAGTGAAATAGCTGAAATGCAGTTTTTCTTGTCCCCCCCCCAGTGTCACAGGTCATATCCCCTTTGTGCCGGGGTTGGGCTGTAGTTTCTCTGGGGGAGGGGGAGCCTATCTTTCTTTGTTGTGCTGGATTTGCAGGGCGAGGCCCTCTGAACATGGGGGCGAATGGAAAAGGAGGGCGGGGGGAGAGAGAGAGAGACGTGGGGTCGTTGTCAAGTGCAGTTTGCCACAGCAGAGAGACAGGAGGCTTTTTAGGCTAATTATCGAACCATTCATTATTGCTCCAGCAGCTGCACAGTCCTAAAATATTATTCATAGCCGGCGTTAAGAAACAGCCCATTTATGAAAGCCGACTTAATCCACGTATCCATAGCAATTTCAAGGCAACCTGGCACTGGCTTTGAGCATGCTCTAATAAATAAATAGTGCTTATAAAGAGGTTTGTTGTGCATGGTGTGATAATGCAAAGTATTTTGCTATATGTACAAAGAAGCAGATGATCCTGCATGAACATTATAAAGGCTGGAGGGGCTGCTATAAAAAGGCTATCAAACCTCTCTGGAGAATCAGGTTTCATCAAGATGGAGGCTAAATACAATAATCTAAACCCATTAGAAGAGTTTACATAATTAGTTCTAGGAAGGAGGGAGGGGGGTACATTCATATAATAGAAAAGAAATACCTTTATTGTACCACATTGAGGGAATTCAGATCTGGCAAAAACAGAAGAAAGCTTACAGGTACACAGGTTTCGAAATGATATGAAAAAGAAAACATTTTCAAAGTGAAACTGGAAAAAAAAACATGTCTGAGAAAAGACAGTAATGCTGAACTGTTATAATTAAACGGCATACTGGAGTAAAAAAAAAAGTTTGAAAGAATAGAAAACCACTAGCAGTATCAAGAAATAGGTAAAAATGTCTGAAATTAAGTGTGTTTAGCCGTAATTTAAGTAGGTAAATGAGATAATTTGCCAATGGAATGAGCATTTTTACTCTTAAAATAAGATAATTAGATAATATGCACCTGAAATAAGACAATGCAATTGTTTTTTCTTATTTTAAATGTAAATTGTCTTGTTTGATTGGCATTTACCTTCTCAATTCAAGAGAAAAAGCATTTACTTTAAGAAAAAATGACTTATTGAGATTTACATTTTTTGCAGTGTAGAGGTTGAAAAACTGTGGGAATTGTACAAAATGTCCTAAAAAAAAAGAAAAACAATCGGTATTTATGTAAAAGAAAAAATACATAATTGAGCAGATTGGAAAGAGAGCAAATAAAGGTGCAGGTTTTTGATTTGCTTTAACAAAGCATCTGCTTCTCTATGGGATGACTGATGCTGGAGGCCCTCCATGTTTAGCTGCCAGCACCTTCTAATACTTGAT